ATCATTTTCACCTTATTATTTTTATTTCTTTTAATTTGTTTGTTTGTTTGGTGATCCAGTGTTCTTCAACGCATCTTGCTTTAGGACCTCGAATTTTCGTTGGTTAATCTTCACTTTTTATTTTTATTTCAGACACATCTCGTTAGTGATGTTGCTGATCTCTGGCTTTGAGCCCTAAGGCTCTGGCCGTTCTTAATCTTTACTTAAGTCATAGCGACTAAAGCTTGCTTAAGATTGATTTCTTTATCTGTATCTTCACTTGGGAGCGGCTAACTACTCCCTTAATAAAATTGTTTTTTTTTCCACGCAGGAGCGGATGACAACTCCTTAAATAAGCCTGAATGTCCTTTCGAAAACACACTTTTAGAGTGGTAGTCATTGAATGTGAACTCCACCCTTACCTGAATGCAGATGATGAATGTAAGAGATAGTATATCTGATTTTGCCTGGTGATGTCTGTTACTGCAAAGCTGTGTTTTTACGGTTTATTTTAGAATGTACATGTCAAAATTTTTGCTGAGTCAAAAATTTTCCAGGGTCGGGGGGAAAATGTAGTGTTATGCTACTTACATATCATTTTACACTATTTTAAATTTATTTTTCCATTCTGTTTTTGATTTTCTGCATTCACCTCAAAATTGGATATTTTGCATCACCTTGTAGTGTTATGCTACTTACATATCATTTTACACTATTTTAAATTTATTTTTCCATTCTGTTTTTGATTTTCTGCATTCACCTCAAAACTGGATATAAAGGTGATGCAAAATATCCAGTTTTGAGGTGAATGCAGAAAATCAAAAACAGAATGGAAAAATAAATTTAAAATAGTGTAAAATGATATGTAAGTAGCATAACACTATACTCTAGAGTTGGTACCGGTTTTAACGCGTCTTTTCAGGTACTCCTACTCCCTAGGCGTAGTCCCATCATGGAAGACGGCTATCGTTCACCCGATCCCTATAAAAGGCGACCGCTCAGAGCCGTCCAACTACCGGCCTATCGCCATCACCTCCTTGTTCTCCAAAACAATGGAGTTTATTGTTAACTGCCAGCTCATGAGGTACCTTGAGGATCACCAGCTGATTAGTGACCGCCAATACGGTTTTTGCCGTGGTCGATCAGCTGGTGATCTTCTGGTCTACCTAACTCATAGATGGGCGGAGGCAGTAGAGTCCAAGAGTCCATTGGCCGTTAGTTTGGACATTGCGAAGGCCTTCGATCGGGTTTGGCACAAAGCGCTTCTTTCGAAGCTCCCTTCCTATGGGCTTCCCGAGAAATTGTGCGATTGGATCACCAGCTTTCTTGCGGATCGGAGCATCAAGGTCGTTGTAGACGATGCAAGCTCCGATTACAAGCCTATTAATGCTGGTGTTCCACAAGGCTGCGTGCTATCGCCAACACTGTTTCTTCTGCATATCAATGATATGTTGCAAACCCGTAACATTCATTGCTATGCAGATGACAGCACTGGTGATGCTCTGTACACCGGCCGTGCCAATATTTCTCGGGAAAACTTCTCCGCGTACCGAGACAAACTTGTGTCTGAAGTCGAGTCTTTGCTGTATAAAGTCTCGAATTAGGGCGACTAAATTTAGTCCAGTTTAATCCTCAAAAGACACAACTTTGCGCGTTTACCGATAAAAAGAACCCCGTCGTAACTCCTCAGTTTCAAGGTTCAAGGTTTCAAGTTCATCCAGCACAGAGCGGCTCGAATCGTCGACGACTGAGTGCGTTCCGATCGGCCCGATTCACAGGCGCTGCGAAGAGATGTTGCATCTCTTTGCATTTTCTTTAACATATACCATGGGGAGTGCTCTGAGGAATTGTTCGGATTAATCCCAACCACCATTTTTCGTGAACGCACTACGCGGCAAACGTCCCGATACCATCCACACCATCTGGATGGTTGGCGGTCCACCAATGTACGTTTCACAAGGAGTTTTCTTCCGCGTACGACTTCTCTGTGGAATAGTTTACCATCGGCGATTTTTCCGAACCGATACGACCTCGGGACCTTCAAGAAAAGAGCTTACTCCTTTCTAAAGGGCCGGTAACGCACCTGCAATTCCCCTGGTGCTGCGGTTGATAATGGGCGGCGGTAGTCACTTAACAGCAGGTGAGCCGCATGCTCGTTTGCCCCTTCTTCTATAAAAAATAAATAAACAAAAAAAACAGTCGAAAAAAAAACACAAAAATTTTAAACAGAATTAAATTAAAATGAGTGATTTGAAAAATTCAGAGACAGCAAAAAAAAAAGAAAAGTTCAAAAATGTTTTGATTTGCCTAAAATGAAAAAACGTAGACGAAGAATATGCAGTTTTTACGATGTTTGGATGAAAAGTTATTTGTTCATGAGATCAGACCCGAATAATAATTATAAAGCACAAAAAGGCTACAAAAAACCTATATTTTGTAGCCATTGTAGCTGTCCCGATTTGAAAACCAAAAACCCTGATTATTTTTACCTTCCGTCTCGAAATTTTACTTCCTAGACTTGGCAACACTAGCTTTGACTCTCAAGAAGCTTCGAAGCCTTTTATTAAATATCGATAGCGGCAATTCTTTCCAACTTTTAGGTATTTTATCATATATGACTGGAGCCATACAGTAGATACTTTTGCGCATTAGTGATGTCTTAGCAGATTGATCATTCAAAAGGGTACTGTCGCGTGTACTACGTGAAACTACTTGGTTAAGGCGTTTAAGACGTTTTGGATGCAATTTAACAAACACAGCCACTTCTAGTACGTAATAGTACGCAAAGGTAATGTCAGTATTTTATACTGTTTAAAATATAGCACGCAACTATCGGCAGTTTTAAGCTTAAATATCGCCCTTATGCATCTTTTTTTGAGCCTTAAACGGTGAATCTTTTTCGGTTGAGCTACCCCAAAATATTACACCATTTCGAAGGTGCAATTCTGCTAAGTACGGCTTAGCAGAATCCCACCTCAAGCAGTGAGTGCATCCCGTGTATACAATTGAAGACAAAGTATGTAAAGCATATACGGTTTTACTAATTTTCTTACATAAAGTGTTATGTATATGTGTGCTCTCCAGTTAAGATGTTTATCTATTTCGAGAGAAGGAACTTTGCAGTTTCAACTTCTTCTACATCATTAAAGAAAAAAATTCCTAGTGTAGATTGCGTCAAAGACGAAGTTTTTAATTTGTGGTACTAAACAAAAAATAGAAAAAATAAATTATTGCAATCCAAAAGTACACTTAAAAGAAACTATTTTAGAAAGAGTGGAAAGACCCATAATCTAGGAGTTATAATTAGCCCTGATCTCAGATTCGAAGAATACATTGCTGGTGTTGTTAGGAACTGCTTCTATCGGTTAAAAATCTTGTACAGGATACGTGAATATCTGAGTATTGAACTGCATAAGAGGTTATCTGAAGCACTTGTACTATCCAAACTTAATTATGCTGACACTGTCTACGGGCCATGTCCAAAATGCCTCTTGATGGCACATCAAAGCAAAACCTTTTGCTTTGATGTGCCATCAAGAGGTCATGAAAGCCCATTCCTTAATGATAATAACATCCTTAAGATGGCCGCAAGACGCAAACTCCACTTTGCTTGTGCTCTATTCGGTGTTTTGAAAACAAAAACTCCAAAGTATCTATACTCTAAACTAAACTGGTGTCACGAACACAATAAGTATCTCACGCGTGTTTCCTCTCCCATATTAAGTGTCCCTCGAGATAGTTCTTCGGCCTTCAGAGGAAGTTACAAATTTACAAATAAACAGCCACCCTGCTGAAATAATATACTTCCACCACTACGTACTCTAAAGACATTAGGGAATGTCAAAATACACTTAAAGAAATTTTTACTAAACAAACAAAAGGGAATAAGTGATCGTGCTTTATTCAAGAATGAACTATTTATTTAGTATTTCTAATCATACATTTAATGATTAACTAAGTATTTATTAGCCTCTATATATATTTATACATATTTGTCTATATTTCTGTCTAAATATATATATATATATATATATATATATATATATATATATATATATATATATATATATATTTAACATAAACTTTTTAGTAAAACGTTGAGACGCTGCATACTACCGTCTACGGCACATCTCACATGAGGTATTGAATACCGATTTAAGAAAGAAAAAAAAACTCGCTAGCATAAAGTTTGACCGTCCGAACTTGTTTGCGCCGTCTGAAAATCAGCGCTGCAAGCTCGCGACTTATGCTGAGCCCTTCCACCACTTCATCGTAGCACATTGCATGCATAATCGACGCTTTTCTTTTCTTTAGTCTAATTTTCTGTTTTTTATTTGTTTGTTAATAATAAGTCACTTGTTTTATTTTTAATTGTAATTTGTCATGTGTAAGTGTAGTGTTGTAGATGTAAGTGTTGGAATTAATGTGTTATTATTATAGTGTACATTTAAGCTCATGCTAGGAATCCATTGATCGAAATGTATAACTTTTGTTTTACTTAACTTTATTTTTTAATTGTTTTCGTTTAACCAGTTTACAACTACTTTTATGGAGTTACTAAGGTTTTCATAGGTCTCTACACTTTTACATGGTATTGTCACGGTGGTATCATCCGCAAACAGTGTTACTAGTTGCTCAATGCGTTTAGGTAAGTCATTAATCACTATATAAATATAAAAGCTCCTAGCACACTCCCCTGTGGTGCTCAAAATATAACTTCATGCTTTGACGATCCAAATATCTCAGCCTTCTTGTTTGCTATATTAATTTGATTCATGTCACTTATTTGTATTCGATTCTTTAAGATTCAATTAGATTAAGAACATTGCCTCTAATGCCATAGGCTTCAAGTTTTTCTAAAAGAGTAGCGTAATTTACATAATTTACATAATCAAACGCCTTAGTCTTATCGCAAAATATGCCACAGACATGCCTACGTTTATCGACATTGTTAAAATATTGTATATAAAGTCATATGTGGCCTTAATAAATAAAATTATAAAGACTATACAAGCAACAACTTACCGCATATAGACGAACCCTTCGGGACAAAGGTCGCACACGAAGCGTTTCTCGGGCTCGCTCGCTGCTGAAGTTTCGTGCGCTAGACCTGACACACAAATATACACGCTAAGAAACCAATACTCATGCAAGATTCAAAAACGGAAGAAATAGTGGGTTTAGAAAAACGCTTCGAAAAAAAACAATACCTAGTGATCGCTAGCCCACCTATTAAGCATTACTGTTACATACAACACTTATTGAAAGTCACTCTTATGTTTAATTTTCCACTGGTTCGTAAAATACCTCTATCCTGGGAAGAACCAGCAAGACACCCAGCCGGACTTTTAAAAAACAACAATAGTTTACAATCATTATAGTAACACAATAACAAGGTATTACACCCATTTTCAAAAAGTGATTTAAATGAATCCCAGAGTTATAATGAACAACAATAATTTTATGTAATTTTTTTAAACCAAATAATGCCATAAAAATTACGTTAATCTATCGTTTTAAATAATGATTTCTTATATTTACGCGAACACTACACATTGAAATAATACTAGTTTTTACGGAATTTATCGCGTATATTTAACTTTTTAATACCGTTTCGAGAGCTTTACAGCACCCATGGTCACGGGAAGGACTGAGAACTATCGTTTTAAATTTTCGCGTGAATACGCTAGCCGCCATGCTATTCAACTAGTGGCGTCATAGTCTTCGAATTTTGTCGATTTTGCAAAGGAATAAGATATTTTTTAATGTTTAATAATGAGTTATCATCTTTATCGTTGTCGTGTTGTGCCTGAATGAAAAAGTACGAGCATAAGAACGCCGCGAAATTTATGGATTCACGTGCCAACCGATTTAAATATAAGAAATACTTGGTTAAAACGGGCAAGAAGATACCCAAATACAAAAACTAGATTCTTCTGTAAATATAATTTTGATGTAAGTATGACTTATACTTAACTATCATGTATACAAAACAAAACATCATGAGATGAAGGGTATCGCAAGTCAAATTTTGTAATAAATTACTTTAACTTAGATATTAGGTATATCTAATGATTGCTAATAAGTGTAATTATATATAAACTAAACTATGATAGCTACCAAACTATGTTTTATCAAAATACACTCTGACCTGGTATTGTATTTTTGTATAAACAAAAGTTGGTAATAGATTGATGTTTAACATTCCTCAACTCAACAGAACAAAAATTGGGACGGCTTGCAAACATTTTTGCCACCATCAACTTATTTATCCTTGGTAGATTAGTATCTTCTGCTTTTACTAATTCGTCTTCCATGATGCCTTTTCAATAAAATTCGGAATAGAACTCAATAATCATAATGATAACTTGAAAAAATTCGAAATAATTCAGCACGTTAGCTAGTTCTCTTAATCAGTGACACACAACATTAATACCCTGAGAAGGCCTCAGTGACGTCACGACAGATTCTAATATGGCGGATAGCGTTTTGCAGATTACAGGGACTGAGAAAAATATATATTCTCAAAATTGGAATATAAAATTTATAATGCAATTTTATAAATAGAAATCAATATTTCTCGTTTACTCACAATTCTTCAAGTTTACATCTATAATTAATTTTTTTTTTTGATTTTTTAGATGGTGCAAAATAACTATTAACACCATAAAACAAATTTGAAATAGCTTGGTAGTGATGAATGTGTGACGTAATGATGAAGATATCTGTCACTAATTCCTTAAAAACATAACAACCCTTTTTATACAATCTCTGTTTAATAGTTTTTAAATTTGGCGAAAGTGAAATTTTGTATATTTTTTGAGATTTTCTTGTAACAGCATTTTTTATAGACTAAGGGTAACAAACGAGCATTCCACCTCATGGTAAGTGGATGTTATGGCCCATAGACATCTACATTTATCCTCGATTAAGAATTAAAAATGAAAATGCGTTGTCATCACTGAGGACTAAGATGAAACACGGCAATATTAAATTGCTATTTACGCTAGTTTGTGGGAGCGTGGTCCTATCACAGTCGAGCGGACCCATTCGTGCTACAACCGTAATATAACTGCAATGTTGCTCTACCGTGTAAAACCGCGTACACATATTATGGCATAAAATAATAATATAGAGTATGTAGGAAATGCGCACCATGTTTGAAGAGCTGGTAGGTGTCGCGGAAGGACTTCTCGCAGAGGCCGCAGCGGAAGGGTTGCGTGTCGCGCGCCCAGTGCCGCCACCAGTGCGTCGCCCACTCGCTCTCCTGGAAAGACTGCACCCCCCACCCCAGGATCATATTACTCATTCGTTCATTCATTTGGTTCATTTGGTCTTTTTTATGAACTCAATTTTAGCATATACCTTTTATGGCCAAGTGTGAGTTGTGTGTAAAAATGAACAAGCCTAATGGTAAATTTAAATAGTGTTTTAAAACTGCGTTATAAAATTTCCAATAAGAACTATTATACGATTATATAAGAACTTTATCACAGCTTTATTATACGGTTTGAAAATGTATGTGAGAGTTTACATCGTTAAATCATTTGTATCCTAAATGGTCGTTCAAAATGAAAAATGATTAGAGAAACGTACAGATGATTATTAAAGACCTAATCATGTCTTTAGTGACACTCACAAGATTAAGACAAATCGTCTGACATAAGAATCATCGGTATCGCGTCGCACGCGTCTGGTCTCTAGAGCGCCACAAAGGTACAAACATGATAAACACTACTCTCCTTCGCATCGCGCAGTCTTGTAATAATATTTATATTTTTGATCATCATCATCATTCTATGGACAGCAGAAGTTTTTCAAATTTTATTTTCAATTTTATTTATTTTCATATTTATCATAAATTTCCATATTCTATTAAAATATGTTAAACATTTATAAATTATTACAAAATCAACAACCAAAATACTTATATGAAAGGCTCAGTTTCTCGGAACGTCTCTCGCGGGAAACTGTTCGATTATTGTACCCATGACGCAGAACGGCCGCGTTTCGTGGTAGCTTTCGGTATGCTGCCACAAAGTGTTGGAATAATATAACGCCTCCGATCAAGGGCAGCAAAACAGTTGGCACTTTTAAAATAAAACTAAAAGGATACCTTTTAAATTTGCAAAGTGAGTAGAATTCTGTGTCGATGTATCACATTTTTCTTATAAAGTATACTGTGTCTATATATTATAAAACTAACGTATACTTGCTTAATTGTAAATTTATTTATTTTGCTTTTGTATCTTGTCAAATAATTTAATTGTGTGTCTTGTGCCTTGCACATGCCTTTTGTTGCGCTTTTTGTTGTGTTGGCTTTTTGTTGTGCCCTTTTCCTAAATGCTGACAGTTTTATTTTTATTTTTAAGTTGTTAGTTGTAAAGTATGTATTTTCATAAGTGTTGGAACCTGTGATTAGTATAATAAGTTAAGTTTATTCTATTCCACCTATGTCTCTGGCGTTTACTGACAATCAGCAGTTGTAGTTACCACCATGTGGTTTCTGTAACATTTCTGCTGAGTAGACGCCTTTTTAGTTCATTCCATTAAATAATAATGTTATGTTAATTTGTGTATATGTTTGGAACTAAATAAATTATATTATTATTATTATTATAAACAAAATAGAAGAATGCAATGTACTCAACCGACGTAGTACTTGCTGTAGAACTCGTGAAAAAATTATTAATAAATGTTTTCCATTGTTAATATGTCGAAACGATTTAAAGTTGTTGTAACAGAAGTTGAAATATGGAAGACTTTTATGACATTTAAAAGTTTTTTCATATGAAAAACCCATCGGCATGTTATCGAGTGAATGTGGTGGTCATTTCAACATGCGATCTTTATCTCTACAAAATAAAACACATACAAATCGATCTTCTATGTAACACTTGTACTTTGAAGTCTTCAGTGTGTTTCTTACAGTGGATTTAGGCACACCGTGGATTTCACTGCCTCGTTGGTCAAGTGGTGGTTAATGCGGTTGCTGATCATGAGGTCCCGGAATCCGTGGTCGGGCCAACATCAGCTCACAGTCAGGAGACTGGCGGTATTTCACCCCCGTGCCTCGGAAAACGCGTAAAGCCATATAATCTGAGCCTGGTTTCTCTCCGTTCGTGTCGCATTGGGCTTTAGGATGGAGGAAATAAAGAGTGCACCTCTGCTCGCACTCGGGAACTGAGGAAACTGGCCGCCGTCACCGAAAATCGGTCTGTAGGGCATTAATTATTGCACACTGATATTTTCAGTAGCTCTTGCGTAAGATTCAAAGAATTCTTATACAATTGACAATTATAATTGTGATATACTAATACTAACTGCTTCGTTGGTTTAGTGGTTGTAGTACATAGTGGGACTGCTAATCATGAGGTCCTGGGTTCGAATCCCGGGTCGGGCCAAGTAATCAATTATTGAGTTTTTCTGTCAAGAAATTCTCAGTAGGTGCCTGGAGTCAGGAAGTTGGCGGTGTCTCACCCCCGTGCCTCGACAAGCACGTAAAGCCTGTCCTGTCCTGGTCCTGCGCCTGATCTCTCTCCGGTCGTATCGGTTTACCGTCCCATCGGATTATGAGAATGAGGGAATAGAGAGTGCACCTGTGCTTGCGCATACACTTGCGCACTATAATCCTGTCCTGCGCCGATGGCTAGCCTCCGTTGAGGCTGGCCGCCGTGGCCGAAATTCGGTCTGGAGGACATTATTATTATTATTATTATACTAATGTATTCAATTAGGACTAGTGTTGCTTTCCTACGTTTGATTGTAAATCAACATTTTAGTTGCAAATTTTTAATTTACCTATCACATATCTTACAATTAGATAGCTCGCAATCAAACCTACTGCCTACGTAATCTACTTAATACATTATCTGGTCTTCAATAATTAAGAAAATACTCTTTAATTAAGTCAATTAAAGCATATTAGATAACGGCGTGATGAATCACAAGCATAAATTGATAATAATAAGTAAAGGCCACTGTTAAACAATGTTCGTTCATAATTTAAAAAGCCATATTTTTAAATGAAGTTCAACAAGTTCGCAATAGCACAGAGTTTTTAAATTAGACTGCAAAAACTTTTGACTGCGATTAAAGTATTACACATTTAAATTTTGTGTAGTTTGTATCGACATACAATTTAACTATGATTATTTGTATACAAGTACTTTGACTGTGATTTTAGTATATCTCATTAAATTTGAATCTATCAGTATTAGAAAAAATTGACAATTTTACTGATCACTCACGCTTGACCGAAAAATTGATGATGTCAAGATTGTTTTAACAAAATACATATGAATAATAAATAATTTTATGGTTTTACTTTTTTAAACTTTCTCAGTTCCCTATGGTTTCAGATTTATACACTGTCTCCGTTAAAAAATAATTAGGTCCTCAGAAGCTACGTTGCGGAAAAACTAAAATTGCAATGAGAGACTGAAGTTAAGGCTGTAAATAATTAGAGTGGTGCGAAATGGCGGTGTAAAAATATCCGCTGGTGCACGTCAACTCGCAGGCGTCGTAGGAGGCGACGGGGAGAAACGAAAGCGCCTTCCTAATAACGACTAAAGCTAAAAACTGCGGTTGCCAGTCTGAGTTCGCAGACTGCAGACAGGAAGTCTGCAGTCTGATCATGAACGAACAAGTTCAAGATCGTCCCCACCATTACATTAGATTTGATAAACCACAAATTCTCGCAAAAGAACACCGATTCCTACCAAGGATGATACGCGAGGCTATTGAAATTAAAAAACATCCAAATTTCAATAGAGAAGATGGTTGGGTGCTACCATCTGCTTGGGATCCTATAATTAACAAAATTAAACCCAAACCCAAGCATACCACTGCAAGACTTCATGATACTATAAGCTCGTTTTGCGTAAATCGGACCAAAAATTAATATTAAAAAACTGAAGGTTGCCGGACTAACTATGACATTGGGACGTCAAACATCTCAGTCCCGCCCGTGACCATGGATGCTGTAAAGCACCCGAAACGTCGGGATAATAATAAAAATAAATTAAAGTAATTAAACGCGATAAAATCCGTAAATAATAGTTTTATTCAATCTGCTGTGAAGCTGAATATTTCACCTCATTCCTAAGTGGCGCCGCTGTGGTGGCAAAAAAAATGTGGATGGCCTCATTGCCTCCCACTATAAAACTAAATGGAAGACGATTTAAGGTTAAAAGTGTATGTGTGCATGCGTGCGTGCATGCGTGTGTGCATGCGTGTGTGCATGCGTGTGTGCATGCGTGTGTGTGCGTGCATGTGGCGTGCATGTCTGCGTGCACGTTTGCGTGCGCGCGCGCGTTTTTGTGTGTGTGTGTGTGTGTGTGTGTGTAGTGTGTGTGTGTGTGTGTGTGTGCGTGCGTGCGTATGTGTGCATACCTTCTTGCAGCGCGGGCAGCGGCGGCGGCGGCGGCTTCAGTGTGTGTATATGTGTGTGCGTGAGCGTGTGCGTGCGTGCGTGTGCATACCTTCTTGCAGCGCGGGCAGCGCAGCGGGCGCGCGGCGGGCAGCGGCGGCGGCGGCGGCGGCGGCGGGCAGCGGCGGCGGCGGCGGCATGGGCCCGCTCTCCGCCGCCGCGTTCGCGTGCGATCTGTGCCGACACACCGGGGTCAAACAACCACTTCTCATTGCTTCACCAATTAACTAATAGTAATCACCCAAACACTTCTATGTACACTACTACATGCGACCTGCACCACCACATCGAAATCAAATACCGAATCCTCATTGCCTCACCACTTAACCACTTAACTAATTGTAATAACCCAAATACTTCTATGTACACTAACATACAAGCACTACAGTACTCATAAGTTGCACATTAACACTCAACCACTTATTTAAGTAATCGTATTCCCCAAAGACTTATATGGAAACTACTAGGACAGTATGGTACTAATACATTGCGCATTTTGCGCTCAACTCTCCGTTATTTCATCAGTTGACTGCGTCCGAGCGAGAATCAAACAACGACGTTGTCAGTGATCTACTATGTACTCAATCAACCAGTTAGCTATGCGGTAGATCCATAATACAGCTGCAGCAGGAATGGGTCGCCCGCAAAGAATATCAGCATGAAATATAAGTATAATGCAACTGTTTTATATGGTGGGAGAAGACAACTGTAGATTCTCTTTACTGGTAACGTGGCATTCCATCTCTGTCCTTAACAGTGACAACCCATGTGCATTTTGATTCTAGGATAAATGTAGGTTGTATATGAGCCACATCATCTACTTCCACCTTCTACGTCAAACCAAAGCAAAACCTTGCTCAACATATTTTAAGTATATGCATCTAAAATCATTTACAACAATCAACTTGGTTTAGGTTATATTGTTGTGCACCCAGGAGCGAACTTTTGCGAGTTGATTAAGAAAAAAAGAAGAAAGATACTGGTACGTGTGTGAGTGCATGTAAAGGAGAAGGGGCAAAGAAGGAAGTGAGAAGAAGGAGCATACGGCTCACCTGATAGCAAGCTTGTGACTACCGCCGCACATGAACAACTGCAACACGAGAGGAATTGCAGATGCGATGCCGGCCTTTTAGAAAGAAGTAAGCTCTTTTCTTATAGGTCTCTAAGTCGTACCGGTCCAGAATCGTCGGTGGTAGACGATTCAACAGAGAGGTCGTAAGCGGAAGAAAACTCCTAGCGAAACGTACAGTGGTTGACCGCCAAGCATCCAGACGGTGTGGATGGTATCGAGAGTTTTGCCGCGATGTGCCTTCGTGAAATTTGACGGCTGGCATTAATCCGAACAATTTCTCAGAGCACTCCCCGTGGTAGATACGAAAAAATGCAAAAGGAATGCAACATCTCTTCGCAGCGCCAGTGAATCGAGCCGGTCGTCGACGATTCGAGCCGCTCTGCGCTGGATGCGGTTGGAAGGAGCTGGCACTGGGGAGCCCTAGCCCAGAGATAGGAACAGTATTCCATATGAAGCCAAACCTGCGCCTTGTAAAGTTGCAGGTGGCGTGCCGGCATGAAATACTGTCCCGCTCTGCTGAGCACGTCAGGCTTTTTAGAGGCCACGAAACCGCACGTCAGCCGATAGGTCGCCGCCGAAGATTATGATAATGGCTGAGGCAATAAGGGGAGTACCTTGAAACTGAGGAGAAACGACGAAGGGGTTCTTTTCAGCGGTAAACGCGCAAATTTGTGTCTTTTGAGGATTAAACTGGACTAAATTTAGGCGCCCCTAATCCGAGACTTTATAAGCAAAGACTCGACTTCAGACACAAGTTTGTTCCGGTACTCGGCGACGTTTTCCCGAGAAATATTGACACAGCCGATGTATAGAGCATCACCAGTGCTGTCATCTGCATAGCAATGAATGTTACCGATTTGCAACATGTCATTAATACGCAGAATAAACAATGTTAGTGATAGCACGCAGCCTTGTGGAACACCAGCATTAATAGGCTTGTGATCGGAGCATGCACCGTCTACAACGACATTGATGCTCCAATCCGAATCCGAATGGAGTCTATTGTTAACTACCAGCTCATGAGGTACCTTGAGGATCACCAGCTGATTAGTGATCGCCAATACGGTTTTCGCCGTGGTCGGTCAGCTGGTGATCTTCTGTTCTACCTAACTCACTGATGGGCGGAGGCAGTAGAGTCCAAGGGGGAGGCATTCGCCGTTAGTTTGGACATTGCGAAGACCTTCGATCAGGTTTGGCACAAAGCGCTTCTTTCGAAGCTCCCTTCCTATGGGTTCCCGAGAAATTGTGCGATTACACTCCAATCGTGGAAGACGGCTTTCGCCCACCCGATCCCAAAAAAAGGCGACCGCTCAGCCCCGTTACACAGTAACAAGTACAGGCTTATCGCCATCGCCTCCCTGAGGTATAATTAGACGGGGCTGAACGGTCGCCTTTTTTTCGGGATCGGATGGGCGAAAGCCGTCTTCCACGATTTCGATACAACGCCTAGAGAGTAGGAGTACCGGAAAAGACGCGTTAGAACAGGTGCCAACTCTGGACCACACATTCTCAGCACAATTGGGGGGATTCCGTCAGGCCCACTCGACTTTTGGATGTCTAGGGAGAGGAGTGCTTTGCAAACCGAGCACTGTGTGAATCGCATATCTTACGATAAGGTGTAAGTGCTCCATGTCGTTTGCGGCATGGTCTAGTGAGTTGTTCTGTGCAGAGATGGCTGCCAGAAATTCCCGTAGACAGCCTTGACGAGAAACCAGAATGCACGGGTTCCCGTAGGAATGCGAACTAGTTTCTCGCCAATTCTGGCTATGTACTCTGACTTTGCTTTGAAACTGTTTTGAAGGACCTGGAGGTGAAATTATATTTATTTTTAAGGGCACTGGTGTTTACATCCCGGGACGTTACTGCGTCAGCCTTGACTCGGTAGCACTCCTGATTATATGCTATTTTACAGGAGCGACTAAGCTATGGCTGAGATCTGCCTCCAACGGGCGCCACAGAAGAAGGAATAAAAAGTTCCATACTCTAAAGTACCACATCAGCGACAGTATTAGCAACTACGCTGGTATCGTCCGGCGAGAAGCAAACCCGCCTCCAAGGGTAGGATGCAAAGAAAGACCGCATGCTATCCCGAACGACCGACCTATACGGCGACAAACTGCTGAATGCAACCGTGATTATAGCGTGAATGGCACTACACTCCGGACTAGACAATGGAGGACAGAGGAGCCATTCGGCGTGGAAGGCGTTAAAATCGCCGAGGATCACGATCTCTGCAAATGGGATCTGCTGTAGCAAGGAATCTGTAGCTATTTTTGACGTGGTCGATGAGTCGGTCCGTTTCGGCATAACCACTATTGGACCTATATAGACAACCGTAGACGCGCGGACGCTGTCTACGCGTAGCCAAAAGATAGACAGGTACGAACCTTCAAGACTGCCAAGGCGTCGAGAACAGATGTCTTCTCTGACGTATACGCAAAATTCCGCAAAAAATTTTTTTATTCCGCTACCATGTTGTTGGGAGGGGGATTGGGCCACCAGCCACCTGCCACACCAGCCACACTCACCAGACGAAACGCAGAAGCAGAGCTTCCACTTCACACCGGTAATCTGTGAGGTCATGCTACCACCACGGCTCGAGCCGGCACATACAAGCAACAGCAAAAGCTGCCGTGTGGCTCTATCACTGTTGCAGCATGCCCTCCGTCCATGCACTCGGTCTATTTTTGTTTGTTTGTCTGAGACCCAAGAACATTTAACTGAAGTGAGCTTTTTCAAAAAGAAATATAAACTGAAAAATGTTATAAAATCTAGTTAAGATCAGGGATTTATAGCCATCAGGCTGGCAGGTATCATTTTATATGTTTAGCGGAAAGTTGCAAAGAAATTTATATTTTTATTTTTTATGATCTGACAATACTGGTCTCTGGTAAGACAGCAAGTATTGTGTGCGACCTGACCCAAGCGGCTCTTCGTATTGTGGAGAGATGGTGCAGGGAATATGACCTAACCGTTAATCCAAATAAAACGGTTATAGTAATGTTCACACAAAAACGAATGCTGAATAACTATCATCTTCCAAGTCTTTTGAGCACAAAACTCCAACTTTCTTCCGAAGTAAAATACCTAGGTCTTACCTTGGATAGTAAACTTAACTGGAACAAACACATAGAAAACAAAATCAGCAAAGCTAGTTTAACTTTCTGGCAATGCAGAAACATGATTGGCAAACGATGGGGTTTAATGCCAAAAATTATACTGTGGCTGTACAAAACTGTAATTCGGCCCATGATCACATACGGCTCTCTGGTATGGTGGACCAAAACCAATGAAGCCACCACTATACAAAAGCTTCAGCGTTACCAGAGATAGCTTGTATGGCTGCCACTGGGCTGCATAAGGACTACACCAACAGCAGCTTTGGAGGCTATGCTGGAGCTAACACCGCTTCATCTACATATACAACAAGAAGCAACTTTAGCTGCCATTAGACTCAAGACCCTAAATCTTTTAAGTAAGAGTAGAGTCCCCCATACAGATATAATCGATAGAATTTACTCAAAAATTCCTATCTTACAAGCCAAGTATGATAGGATCCCAAAACAATTTGTATTCAATAAGAAGTACAGGATACAATTGAAGGAAACTGACCATCTGGAAGGATTGGGTTCCAAGAGAGCTCAAAGTTTGGATGGCTCTAAGACAAATGAAGGTGGCATATGCACACCGCTGGGTACTCACAACACAGTCTTCCAGGCTGAATGCATGGGTATCATTCAAGCGACCATAGCAATAGATGCTAGGAAGGTGAAAGACTTCTCCATCAGAATACTGACCGACAGTATGGCGGTACTACAAGCTCTGAGTTGCAATGTGACGAACTCGGGACTGATATACAAGTGCCATCAACGATTGAATAAGGTATGTAAGCACAACAATGTGACTCTGCAATGGATCAAGGGACACAGTAGATCTAGAGGCAACGATGCAGCAGATGAACTGGCCAGAAGAGGATCGGCCCTAGCAACTATAGGGCCGGAACCAATAATACCAATCCCCTTTGGTTACGTTCGTTCACTGGTAAGTAGATACTTCAATAAAAACACGCTCAGCTTTGGAAAAATTTAGTAGACTGTAGACAAGCTAGGGAGGCCCTACCTGAAATAAACAGTCGTCTAACCAAAGTTCTAATGAGACTGAACAAGCCACAGATCAGGATAGTAACAAGTGCTATCACAGGACATGGCTCTTTTAACAAACATTTGTTCACCATAGGTGTTACTGACAGCCCCCTGTGCAGGGCATGCATGGGAGAGGAAGAAACGGCGGCTCACATGTTGCTGACATGTCCAGAAGTCGCTTCATACAGGGCTAAACATCTCGGCACGCCGGGATCGCTCCCCGAAGTTGCTTGCAACATCAAAGGACTGCTGAGCTTCTTTGGGTAGATATCATGGCTCAAATAAGCATATTATTCCTGCCCACATGCAAAATAGGCGCTTAGACGTGGAGTTGCGGAAAACAGCGCATCGTAAACTAAACTAATCTAAAGTGAGTAATCCAAATTGGATTTCGCCGCCACTATTTGAGTTGTTAAATGGATGTTTAAGTGCATGCTCGACGGTGAAAGAAAACATAGTGAGGAAATCTGCATGACTGAGAAATTAAATATTTCAAAGACATTAATTCTGCCAACATGCGCTGGACTCACTACTGCATAGCCCTCTCAGAAACAAGAGGAGGCCCATGCACAGATGTGTATTAAGGCTGTAGCTTTACCTTATCTATCTAAGAAAACAGTGAGTTATTTGTTTTAAATTTGATACATACAAAAACTAAAGACTTACTTATAATGCTGCAATATTTCTGATTTTTTAATGAACTTCTCAAAGCAAATGCAACACTGGTAGCTATCCTGAAGTTCCTCTTCTTTTTTAATTTTCCTATTTGATTTTCTTGTGACATTAGTTTGACTCTCATTAATTTCCAACTTGATTTCTTTTTCTTTATTCACTTCTGTATTTACGTTTCTTGTATTTCGCACATTAATAACTGTACCCGGTAATGAATTTATTAGCATCTCTAAATCTTTTAATTTACCCTTCCTTTTTCTACCCCTTTTATTTTCATGAACCTCACCATTTATAGTATTGTCATTATCACTTTCTTTTATCTTAATTTCTTTGAGGCTAAGGAGGGATATATCGTCACTGTCATCTGAATATATACCATTAGTGACTTCATAATCGTCATTATCCGATAGATCCTTTTCTGTTTTTACAGCAACTGCTGGCGAAAAGGTTTTAGGATCAATTTTCTCCTCTTTTATTTTTACAGTATCTTGTGAATTGTCAACTGACTCATTACAATCTGTCTGTGTTCCCTGCTCATGGACCACGGTAAAGTTTGCAGAGGAGAGTGCATGTGAGTTTTCTTTTATTGCTTGATTGAGTGATTCAAGCAGCGGGACACCAGATGCTACTAAAATAGCTCGCAATCTGAAATTTTTAAGTTGAAATATGTTAACAAGTACTATCAGTTATATAACATAACAACTGATATTAAATGGTTACTGAAGTCCAGGTGCACACACCTGTATCCAACTGCTATGAAGATGGCTGCCATCTTCATAGCAGTTGGAGTCTATAGTATAGATGCAATGGTATGTGTTAAACTTGATTACAACAAATTGTAACTGTGCAGATGGACAACTCAAGAAAAAGAAGCCATTAAATTAATTTAAGCATTTTTTTTTGTTTTGATATGAAATTTTCATATCCATTTAATATGAAAATTTCATATCCATCCATCCAATATAATTGAATGTTAAATGAAGAGAAATAAAATAATATAAATGAAGCATTCTTAATTAAACTAGTTTTATGGCTGTTATCATGTTTAATTTTACTTATGTATTTTTAATTCCCCATGTTAAGAGATTGCGGTGTTAAACACCCTGATATCATAGCTATCCCAATCAACCGAGTTGGATTTAGAATCTTTTGGCAGGAATTAGGAGGAGAAAGGTGTGGTATGTGGTAGTGTTATCGTCCCCAATTATAACAATACTTCTCGCATGAAAAGGTAACTTTTTTAACCTAAAAATGGGTTAAACATGGAAAAACGAATGTAATATTATGGTGAAAGCTGGATAGCATACATAATTTTGTCTAAGTGAGACAAGGACGTAAGAAGGAAGAAGACATGTCAAAGACTATAGTCACTCACATTATTATACTTTTATGGTATTTTTATATATGTCATTATTTTGAGGTAAGTTTTATGGGATTTTCTTTTTAATTTTTCTCAATAATGGTGAATTACCTTTTACAGAACAAGCTTACAGTATTTTGTCAAGTCTTGCAGAGGTATGCCTGAATTTGTATTTAATTTTATTAATTATAAGATCCCAAAAAGATGGTAGCACCCATCATCATTCTCATTCTAAATTTGGATGGTTTTGAATTTCAGTAGCCTCTTGAATAATCTTTGGTAGGAATTGGTTCTTTTGGGAAGTTTTGTTGTCTACTCAAAAGCTGAAGGCAATCCTATCGAACAAAACCAAATCTATCAGAACGTCAAACACCTGAGGTGTCCCTTGAACATAGGAAATTAAAAATCTGTAAAACTAGTTTTATTCAATGATAAGTATACATGTAAATTAAAGAAATCATTATAATACAGACTTAGTTCTACAGCCTAAGTAGAAAGAAACAGAAGTATTACAAACAACTAAATTGGATAAACATATAATATCACATTGTATTGTCATTAGGAAATTTGCTATTTGAAAAAAACAGCTGACATTGAAATAAGATTTGTTTTTCTAAAGATGGCCAAAAAGGAAAATTATGACCGAACTGTAAAATCTCTAGGGAATCATTTAAAGAACTTACTTTTATATGAAACATAAGCAGCCATAATAAGTAAATGCAGCTAGTAGCACTAAATACCAAGATCAAACATATGCTTATGATGTTACTCAACTCCATAGAATTAGTCATTTATTAACAACAAAAAGTTTTACAAAAAAATTACAAAACCTATTAAAAAGATTGGTGAAAAAACAACTATATAAAAAGAGTACTCTATTACAATATTAAGGAACACATTAATGAAAATAACCCATGGAAATGAGATGATCACTACCAAGTAGTTTCTAAAATAAATCTTACATATTTTAACAAAATTATAGTATGAATATGATTTTAAATTGAAAAAATATCATGTTAAGTGTTTGCTAGTTTTTTTTTAACATAGAATAAGGTTGACAAACAAGCACACAGTCCACCTGATGGTAAGTGGTAACATTTATCCTCAATTAAGAATCACAACGCAGATGTGTTGACACCCCTGAGTACTAAAATAGAATTTCTCGTCACCAGTAAGAAAGGGTATCCGGATCTCTACACTCACCATTGAAACACAGCAACATTAAGTTGCAATTATACACTGGTATTCTGTGAGAGTGTGGTCCTTGTCCAGTCGAGCCAACCCATTCGTGCTACAACCATAATATAGCTGCAGCGTGGCTCTACCATGTAAAAAGTTGCACTACCACGTAGCAGCACTACAAGCACCGTGGCTCTACCACGCAGTTCTTCCCAAGGGATATTTTGTGAAACATTTATAAATTAAATAAAAAATTTATTTAAATAAATATTGTGAGTAGAACTTAGACAAATCACTGAACTGCATGCAGCAATCATTTGCTTAATGTACAAGGGATGAATTGAAAATTACCCTAATTACCTGGCCTGTGCCTCAATCGCCTCATTACAAAATTGGTATAAGTCGTTTACTTTGCAACTGCATTTATTACAAATCTTTTGTGGAAGCCGATCATTCTTCAATACCTGTCGACACAAAATCATCTTTAATACATGCACTTACACTTACACACATGAAATAAAATCTATTATATTTACTGTACCTTAATTGGTAAGTACAGCGACATTTTTAGAAATAGCGCGTTTTCTTCATCAAATATATGATTATTGACGAACTTTGTAGAGCAACATAGTCGGCAAATAGTATCCATTTTTCAGTCTCGATAAATATATAATAAACGGTCCACCGTCCACGATGTTTATACACTTTCATGAAAAAGTGACATACAGTACAGATACAGTTCACCCATTTGTCAATATTGACCTTAAGAATACGATATTGCCAGCCTTCACTAAGTTATTGTGAAAGACCTAAAACAAAATATATATGTTCTACATATACGTTTTAGGTATAGACAAGAATAGACTAGAGGGTGGGAGTCGGTGAGGGCGGGCGAGGCGAGACTGCGCCAAACTTTTGATTAATGAACACAACATTTGTAAACTTACTTTTGATAAAATTGCAAATATTCAAAACAATGTAAACTTTCTGTTGGCGACAGTTTCTTCGTTTTATAAACGTTGTTTTTTAACATTGTTTAATGAAAATAAAACTCTTTCTCTTTTTCTCACTCACTCTCTCTCTCTCACACACACAGACCACACACACACACACACACACACACACACACACACACACGCGCGCGCACACGTACATGCACGTACGCACGCGTTAATGCAAGCATGAACGCAAGAACACAAGCATGCAATCATGCTAGCGAGTAAACACGCACGCACGCACACACCACCGAACTCACACTCACGCACACACACACACACACACACACACACACACACACACACACACACACGCACGCACGCACGCACACACACGCACGCACGCGCACACACGCAAGCACATACACACACGCACATACACACACACGCACGCACGCACACACACACACACACACACACACACACGCACGCCCGCGCGGACGCACGCACACACACACGCACACATGCACGCACGCTCGAACGCACGAACGCACGCACGCACGCACGCACGCATGCACGCACGCACGCACGAACGCACGCACTTTGCCCTTAGGTCGCACTTTTAACGATGCTTTCATTGCTAATTTGGATATAAAAAAATTGTTATACTGCCTAAAATTTATCACACTTATAATTATAATATCAAATTTTAATCGTAGCCATGATATAAGAGCCTAAGCAACAGAGTAATAAAATGCTAGAGATAAGAGCTCGCCATTAAAGTACCCGGGAAACTCCAATTCGATCTCCGACGGCACCAATGAATTTGTTCAATACAACTTTAAGTGCTAACTTACCACGAGCGCAGCGAAAAGAATAACTTTTTGAAGCAACTCGCATTCCATTACCATTACAGCCTATCAAAATTATACCGCTGAATTTAGATCTTATACTTGGCAAGCAGTTTGGTTAACCACTAACCATAGTTTTTATTTGTTCAGTCGCTATTAGAATTATGCTGCCCGTCACCTGGTTCAGTTTCCCTTTGTTGCCTCATATGACACCCGCAACCCACAGGACGACATTGGGTAGTTGATATTCTTACACTACCACTACATGGTTCCAAACCTGCATGGCTCAAGAATAAAATACTTACTTGTAGAACATATAAATTAATGGTGGTTAATATAGCGCATAGCACCATATTATAGCGCGATATCTCTCCATAACACATAGCACGTGCTATGAAAGTAGTCGCCATGACGCTATTGCGCTATAGCGCTTTGGTGCTATCTAGCGGCTACTAGTTCTATAGCAGCAGCACTGTTGGGAGAGGGCGTATGACGCAAATTTGATCGCGCACGACCTAATTTAGTGTTATAGGTTGTTTAGGTAGTGTATACTGTATATTTATAAGTGATCGAAGGACACAGTTGTCTGCTATAAAAGAAGCTATATGTCTGCTATAATGTTTTTAAATGTAAATAAAGTATAGATAAGAAAATGTATATAATAGTGTATGTAAATAGTTGATTTTTATAAATACAATCAATAAACTTTTAAATACACAGTTATTTGATTTATAATTTACATTAAGGCTAAAATAACGTTTACATCAATTATAATAAAAAATAATTTATTTTGTTTTGTTTTAAAAAGTACACGCTTTAAAAATATTTGTAGGATTATAGAAAATCGTAAGCCTCAAAAGTATGAAAAAGCGTTTATTGGTTTTTCTTTACCGCTTTATTTTATTTTAGTCTAAAATGCGAATTATTACGAAATAATGTTCTTATATAGCACGCGGTCTATCCAATGAACGATATGTAATGTAACCTGCTACGAGATATAGCGTGCTGCAAAACTTAACGCGCTAGCCGGCCTCCTCCACGCTTTATTATAAATAGCGCGCTATAACATAGCGCATTTAATAGCGCGCTAGAAATTTATAGTTTATAATCTGTAGCGTACTATTGATTTATAGTCGTTTTGAAAAACTTTAATATAAATACCGCTAACACACACTAGAGCAACGTGGCGGACAAATTACTTCAAAATCAGCAGCGGGACGTATACAGGCTATAACTTAGATTTTTATCATAATAGACTAGGTACAAATATGAAAGGGACGAAATTGCACTTCGAACTTTAAAATTTTATAGAATAATCAGAAGTGATATTAACAAATGTGCATTTTGTGTAATTCGCCCATTATATCACACGTGTGATGAACTGTAGTAAATCCATAGCCCATCATAAGTATTCGACGGAGCGTAGTCCTCAACCATAAATTCTCACAAGGTACGGTCCTGAGACACCTACACCCGTAGACTACATGCGTGTTTCATCAGGTCTTCAATCCATCCAGTGAGGTGTCATCCAACACTGCGCTTGCCAATACGAGGCTGCCACGCTATTTTCTTTATTCCCCATGGGTTGCCGGTTCTTCAGCTTACTAAGCTATATCAGTTGCTTTTATTCTTCTGCTAGTATCCCTTTAGCGGATTTTATCCTGGAAAAAAAATTCCGAGCAAAGCCCTTTTTTTCGCAAGCTGTGTGACTTTGAACTTCCTCATATGCCCAGCAATGAAGGACCAAGTTTCAGTTCCGTAAGTCGTAACTGACAAACGCACTGATTGTACACTTTCGTCTTAAGACTGAGAAATATCGGCCAAGAAGATTTGTTGATATGTCCCGAACGCAGCCCAGCCGAGTTGGATTCGTCGGGTGATATCTTGATCGAAGTTGGCTTTACCAAATTCGATATTTTATTCCGGGTACACATACTCCTGAAAAACTTAAAGCGTTGGGTTCCCAATAACTACCGGTATAGCTGTAACATGGACCTCAAACATGATTTTTGTCTTATCGATCTATGTACATCTTAAGACCTACCGTTGGAAAGCAATATGTATGTGTATCATTGAGCATAGTGCTTAGGTCCTTCAGCGATTCTGCCATAAGGATTATATCGCTGGCTAATCGGATTACCGTGTACCGTACACAACATAGTAGTGTTCGTTAAACATAATGCTAGGGTCCACCAAGAATTCTACCATAGTATTATATCTCTCCATTGATGTTAATACCGTGTATACCATAATATCCTTTCCAGTCCACTTGAAAACAATCCTGTGGGACAGAGATTATACCATAGTGATTATAGTGTCGGCAAATCGAAGGTGAGTGATGTACTCTCCCCATTGATGTTAATTTCTACCATAGTGATTATAATTATTGTCCGCAAATCGAAGGTGAGTGATGTAATCGCCGTTGATGTTAATACTGTATTCTTTCCAGCCAGTAGCTTGAAAACATCTTCTGTAAAATTTCGAGGATATAACCATCGGAGGTATCAACCTGTCTTACGCCTTTCTGTATTTGGATAAACATTAATTTATTTATTAAATTGAATTGAAGGCTACGAATGTTATCTATGGTAACTAAGACTATGCGTCGTGAGTCGTCAAGAGTAATAACTCACAAAACCAGCACGTAGACAAGGCTCGAAAGAGAAATTGATCCGTAGTTCTTCAATAGAGTGCTTCAGCTCTACGCCTACAGAGTAAGACTTCAAGTAAAGCGGTTTTCCACCCACATTCCGAAGCCCCGCTTCAATTCCATCCTCACTCGGGGCGTTGCCCTTTTTTAATCATAATATTAGACTTTACTTCTTGTTCAAATCAGGATACTGTTTAGTTAATTTGATCAACACATGCGTGTGCGTAAGTCCCGGAGAACACAGAGCATCTTTCTATAGAATACTTAATTTTTTTATGATACAGCTGCATAAAAAGAGTTATTATAATACCAAATTGTAGATGACCTATTTAAATGATGGATCGAGGTGATAGCCGCCATGCTGTTTGTAAATGTTTAATCATCATCATCATTACAGCCTTTCCACTGCCGTACATAAATAGATAACACTTTTATGTAGGCCACAAAAAGAAAACATAAATATGAACAAAAAAATTAGAAAAAAAGAAATGTGGAACAACAGGCAGTCTTACCGCTAAGAGCGATCTTTTTCAGACAACCTTTGGATGGGCATCATTGTAAGAAAATAATAAAAACATGTGTGTGGTTTGGTGACAAAAATAACATTATTTACATAGGCCATCCATCGACTTCCTATGGGGGATATTCTTACCAGGTCGTCACCCCATTCAGAGAGGGGTCGCCCAACACTTCGCCTACCGGTGCCAGGCTGCCACTTGAGAACTTTTTCCCCATCGATTGTTGGTTCTTCGAGATATGGCCAGCCCATTGCTACTTCAGTTTACTAACCCGTTAGGCTATGTCGGTTACTCTGGTTATACTGAAGATACCCTTATTTCTAAATTTATCACGCAGAGAAACCCCGAGCATAGCCCTCTCCATAGCCCGTTGAGCGATCTTGAGCTTCCTCATACGGCTAGCAGTGAAGAACCACGTCTCAGATCCATAACTCAACACCCACTAGTTGTACAATCTCGTTTTCAAGTTTTGAAGTACTTATGCCTGACGAGAAAATGTGTCGTAATCTCTCGAATGCTCGACTTACCTATTTATTCGACGTAAACGTGATCGTCCACAACTTCGAGCTTAGTGCTTCCAACAACTGCTGGCATAGGTGTGACATGGACATTAAACATGATCTTTGTTTTGTCCATGTTCATCTTAAGACCTATCTGTTGGGAAACACAGTTGAGGTCATTGAGCATAGTGCTTA